CGACGAATTCGGTCATTATCGCACCGTTATTTTCGTCTTTCATTAAGTCCGGAACTTTTTTATTGACGAGTGGGATACCATACGTATTATCAATCGCGTAATCGCTAGTGTCAAATCTATGAATGTGGCGCTTCATGATATCGTACACATCGTCGCACTCGATGTGATAAATGAGACTGTCAGTATCGGTGTACGTGACTTTACACTTGTCGCGATACAACGGTAACATGTACTCGTGATGAAATTCGTACAAACATGTCTTGGATATATCGAGGATGCACATACCCACATAGATTGGTTTGTCGAACTTCACCTCGAGTTTTCGCATTTCTATTGCTACTAAATTCTCCGAAAAGACGCTTCGGCTATGAAAATTTGGTTTCGCAATCATAGCCTCGCGCCGTATCTACCTTCCCAATGAGTCACGAGTCGCACGTCAACGTGATTGCGCACATTCTCCATGGTTTTGCCAAACACGGCATTGTTCATCAATTTGTATAAATTTTTCTCGAAATCATTGTTGGCCAATGTTCTAAATTTCGTATTGAGGTCTATATAATCGCGAAGCCATGGAGATTGCGCGAATTTCAGTATACGGTGAATTTTTGATATACGGAGACCGTGACGAGTACACTGCTGCAGGTTGCGATAATGTATTACATAACGTTTCTTATCGTATAATGTTGCGAGGAGTTTGTCCTGCCGCTTGCCGGGTGGTTTATCGCGCGTCGGACAGAACGGTAGGTCAGTGTGCGCGTCGTGAAGATGTTGCGGATACTCCAAGTCGACTTCGAGAATGTAGCCTATCGAGGAATCCAACGCGACATCCATAACATTAAAATCGGTTACGTCGTCGACCCATTTAAAATCTGCGTATGGCAATGGTTGACTCATTGCCCAGCCGTATAAGTTATTTACATCAAAATACATGAGGTACGACGACGGTTTCGATGGATCGTACGACTGCATGTACTTGTTGTTGGCCAGCGCGTATCTGTTTGAACATTGACTCAAACCGCCGCGTATACCGCGTTCGATAAACATGACCATGTCAATGTCGGTGAGCAATTCGAAATTGATGTGTGTATGCTTCAACATAGCATCCCACGTAAAACCCGGTAGAGTATAATAATACGCCGGATCGAGTCCATAACTCGCGACGCAACTATCGCGAAAATTTTCAAAGATATCGGCCAACAGCAAGACATCGGTCTTGAGATATAAATCGCTGTAATCACCGAGCGTTCGAATGGAGAACCGCTGCCAGACGTCGACGGCGTGCGCGTAATCGCTCTCGGATACGGTGTCACCTGTCAATGAACTGTAAAACGAGTCGCGCGGTGGTAAACACAAGTCCTCCAATTTTTCGACGCAGTCAATGTATTCATATGGAAATACGCCTTTTCGTGTCAGCAAATTAAAATTTTCTGCGGATAATTCACAAAATTCGCGTTGCAATATTCGCAGTTTATCCTTGCTGAGATAAGATGCCAATTTGTCAAGACTAGCGGTGAGAAACTTGTACGAATCGATAAATCGCAATTTGACGCACGTTTTCTTATCTTTATCTTCGGTGCTTTGAACGTTTTTTGTAAACGAAATATATTTTTCTTTTGTGATCGGGAGTAAATCTACATGTCCTTTGTATGCTGTTGCTATTTTAGTTATAATAAAATGTGCATCGTATCCCGATAAATTATGAAACACTATGGGAATGCAATGCGAATCTTTATAATTTAAGTTACAATTCGAATGCGCGGGACCTCTGTATCGACCGGTCAGGTGACAATGGTCGCGTACTCGCACGTCGTCTGGCTCGAGCGGTTCTTTACACACGTGACAGTGCGTTGCGCTGTTAAACTTTTCCCACTCGTCTCGCGTGAAATCTGCCATGGGTATATTAGTGGACAATATAGTTTTTACGTCGTGAGCTAAACGTCTTAGCTCCTCGGCGAACCACGCGACGCAATCTTTATCGCGACAAAACCGATACATAGATAACGACTCGTCGTACGAGCAACGCACGTAGTACCCTATGCTAAACACGCGATGATGTTGATATGTGTACCTGGACGTTTCCGGATCCGCTTCCATCTTCTCCAGGGTACACTCCAGGTCGGCGTATACGACAAACGGAACTCGTTCTTTCCTGTTGTGATTTTTAAAGGCCAACCACTTGTCGTTATCGCTCGGTAACTTGATCGCGCAGTCATTCATCTCCTGACAGTCGACGGTGTGGGCAGCCAATTTCTCGTTGGAGCTGAAGTAGTGCAAACATCTGCAAAAAAAAATTAACACAAATATTATAAATTTTTTATACACAAAATATTCTATATATTATTAAAAGAACTATAGGTACTTACCGATCGCAAAAGTATTTCCGACCATAGTGTCGGTTGATTTGCGAGCTCACGAGGCGGGACAGGTTCTTGATCCACGCAAAATGTCCCACGTTGTCGTTATGCACATACAGCAGATTTACGTGTCTGTCCATCTTTCGGTCAGTAACACGTATTGGCAAGATAGCAAGTTCCTTGTTTTTTTTTTTGATGCTGTACACGTTGATGGAGATGTTGTTGTGATTTTCAAATTTTTTAATTTGATCCAACGTCATTGGAAACTTAATGTCCGTAAGATCTAGCACCGACGTGTAATGTGGATACGACGATTTCCGATCTGCGTGTCTCTCGGCTGGATGTAGAGCAGCCGTCACTGACCATGCGAAACATGCATTGTCCATTGATCGCACGTTTATCACCGCCTTCTTCTTTTTAATTTCTTGCGGTATTTCCACAAAACACCCCGCGTGCAACGGATTGTATTTGTTCACGTTTACCATTAAATTGAGTATACGCGACAACGCCCATCCGCTATCACGTTCCTGGAATTCCTCCAGCTTTGCTAAGGTAGGCTCGATGACGTGTTGCTTGTACCACTCGTGCAGATTGGACTCACGAAAGAGTTCATAGTTTCTCGTTGCGATACTTTTATTTGCGCGTTTGTCACCCGCAACAAATTCACCATTAAACACTGTGTTAATTTTTACATTGTCATGTCGTTGCATGACGTTCTGCACACGATCGAGTACAATTTCTCTCGCGTTTATAAGAAATTGACGAGGGTCGATGTGTTTGGAATTTATCACCGCACCAGTCAATATACGGCTTTCAAAAGCCGGATCTATCTCGCGCCATCTGAGTCCTGTCGCACTCGCACTGTATCCCGCACCCACGTGTACGAAACGTTGACGTACCGAGTCTTTCAAACCTTCGAGTCTTGCGATACAAGCGACCAATGACTGTTTGAGACCGATCGATGACTGATCGATTGATAATCGTGGCCGTTTAATTCGGCTTTGTTCTTCCAACGATGCGATAAACTCGTCGCATCGTTGCTCCCACGCGGCAAAGTATTCCCTCGAATTTAACAGGGTGGATTGCTCCAACAACTCCTGCTCCATGTTATTGCACGATCCTCTTGCTAACGCCATTTGTTGCACTCACGACTTCCAGTTCTCGACTATTGAGCGTATCCCCTAGATTCGTCATTTTATATTCTACTAATGATGCATCGTTTGCTTATCATATCTAATTTCATCTCAGCAGCCATACATCGGCGCTATTTGCAAAATTTGCAGTTTTGCACGTGTTCGATAAAATCATTGCGAGACACGTACGTTCACGAAAACGCGCCATTGACTTTTGGTGATTTGATCTGTATCAATGCAGCAGCCGTACATCGGCGCTATTTGCAGTTTTGCACGTGTTCGATGAAATCATCGCGAGACATGTCGCGACATGTTCTTCAAAACAATAACGCTTCATTGAATTATGCGAAATTGCAAATTTTGCAGTTTTGCACGTGTTCGATAAAATCATCGCGAGACACGTCACGACATGTTCTTGAAAACAATAACGCTCCATTGACTTATGCGAAATTGCAAAATTTGCAGTTTTGCACGTGTTCGATGAA